GTGTGACATTGTGAATCGTGTTCCGAACCAAAGTGTAAACACCCTATGGGATTTGAAAAACCGAAGTCTTTGTAAGTTATCCCATAATAAAAATTTGAATTTGACTAATGGTTGTAAACACTGTAACTTGACGCGGTAAAATGCCTATACAGAGATAAACGGGAAACAGATATCGACCAAACAATACGAGACAAGTCTGTCCGTGGTCCGAGATGGAAACGCACTTCACAAGTGATGAAAGTGTTTTGTGAGAACCGATAAAGAGCATGGGACAGTTGTTTAGAACTCGTCAGCAGTGCGTAATTTTGTGTCCCTGACAAGGAGTGAAACCTACACACCCAAGAACTTTCAAGAGGTCCCTGGTACCTCTGACCAGTCAAATGGGCTAATCTAAGCTAAATTGATTGAGCCATTCGCACAAGGTGATGACCGTCGACCGTGTAGCTCACGGGTAAGGATTTGAAGTCCCGACCCGACTGATCGCGGTTCGAATCCTGTGACACGGGGACACAAAAAGTACGCACAATGTTAACGAGTTCCAATCAGGACAAAACAGCTGTCCAGTGCTCCTTGTCGGTCATCACAAACACTTCGATTCACGCCTGTAACATCAAAATGTTACAGAAGTGTTTGAATGTGATAGACGGCAGATCACAGTTGATCACTACTCAATCCGGGACGCAAACTTTCCGGTTCAGATACACCAATTGTATGACTTGTAAGAATCGGTCGGGTTCAGTGTAAAATCAACAACCAGTCGATTACCGAGTAAGATTAATGTAAGAGACGACTTTATGAATCATTGTCTTAACAGCAGTAACACTCAGTTTTGTAATAACAATAATAATAACAAAAGCAACAACAATAATGATACATACCAATGGTAATTCGATCTGACAGAGAATGAACACCAACAGCCTTACCTCAACCGATGATGGTGGCCGGGGTTCATTGAAAATGGTCGGTTTGATATCGATCGTGCCGAATGGATCCGCACGAATCTCAGCCGGTACACCTTCGGCAGGGGAAGCCAATTTCGGGGGGATCGGGCACAGATGACTCATTCCTGCCAGACTATTGGTGAGAGAGACAATGAGGCGAGTTTCAGAGGAGTATGAACTAACTACACGTGTGTGAACACGGATAGAAGAATGGGTTTATTGCGTAAGAAGAAGAAGAAGAATCAATCGATGCGATTCGATTATCCGTAAGACGGTTAGAGCCTACTAACCGGTTCTGGATAAGCTGTCCAAACAAATTAACTCGATGTTGCAAATGAGGTTATTGTGACGACAATACACTTTTTGGGTACAAGTAAGTGAATGAAAAGACAAAAAAAATCTACCGGACACGCATGCCTGACGAGTGACAAGAAACGCGAAACCGGTCGTGTGTTGCCAGGGAAAATTTGTCCAGTCATTCATATACTACTTATTGTCAATATGTACGAACATATACATATATATAGCTTTATATTCACACACGTCTTACTTCAGACTGTATGCCAAACAAATCACGGTGCAATAATCTTCATAAAAAAAGAAAAACGTTCCATGATTTGTATGCGGCTCGAATACTGCTAGGTTGTCCGGGTCAAAGCAGGTGAATTTTCATGAGGAATCCATAACCGGAGCCTACGACTAGCCAAAGCCTGACCCACAAGGCAACAGAACATTGTGTGAAAACCGCAATAAATTGGGAGGGGGGGCTGGTGTTCAGTTCATCGGATCGTACGCCCATTGGACGGGGTCAAACGTCCAAGGTGCCCGATACACATCGATCCCGAAGCGAGCCGGTGACCACGGCCACAACCAGGAAGTTGTGCGTGTGTGGTTTGTACGCCTCCTCATGGTTGGTTTGGAATCAGGGTTTTTGAGCCAACTCTCGTAGGTGAACTGCCAGTGGTGGGTGCATGGACCCAGATATTGGCTATTCGTGCTCTGTTTTTTTTGGTAAGAAAACACCTACACAACACAAGAAGGCAATGAGTAGGGCTACCTTGGCAGAAGCTTATTGAGACGTTTGATCACATGGGAGCAATTCGCGAGGAGCAAGGAAGGATTGACCAGCCCCAAACTTGAGACACTCATCCGCGACCCCACTGAGGCTTTCGGAGTTTAGGTAAGACATAAACATCTGATTCTGTGCTGTAAACATTTCTGCTATCCACATGATTTCGATCGGATGAACCGCAACATCCAAGCAATTAGGGTGAATCAAATGAGACGATCCGCAGGGTGGGGTGGCCTTTGGAACTATGTACTTACCAAAACGAGCCAGCGCGCGCGCGCACACACACATGTTTTCGTTTTGAAGATGANTGAGAATAAGTTAGGGTTTAGAGTCGCTGCAACCGACAAGACAAATGCAAAATCAAATCGATCACAAAGTTGTCGAGGGAGTGGCTTCTGCCCCAGGGTAAGCGAAACACCATTGACTTATTATTATCACCTGTACTGACAACATCGTGTTATCGACAAAAACCACACATGTGGTTAAATTATCGCTCCGGAGGATCGTCGGAACAATTAAAACTATGCGAAATTGGTCCCGATTGGGTAGCCATGAGAACACAAGTTTAGTTAGCAAACAATCTCATTTTCGATGCTATATCAACTGGCCGAAAATATAGCACAATCCGAGTTTAAAAAAGGAGACGATGCAACTTTGATATCTGTTGTGTGTGTGTGTGACAGACCCTCAGCAGAAACCATAGCGAACAAATTTAGTCTTGTATTGTATCGTATCGTATCGCGATTGCTTGTGCGGACAACTGTGCCCACACTTCAGTCAGAAAATGTGTTCACCGTTACAACGGGATGAAAAAAAAATGAGAGAAAAAATTATATACGACAATGATAAAATGTAAGCAGGAGTTCTTCTGTACAGGTATAAAATTAGTTTGACCCAGACAGGGAACCGCGGAGTTGTGATAAACATTTATGCGGGAGGGTAAGCAACGATAACTGTGGATCGAATTGTAGCGTGGAAACGGCAAGAAGATAGATCGAGTGGGATTATTGAATATCTCACATGAAGGGATAGGCAAATGACACATTTTTGTGATCCGAGTGTTCAAGGCAATAAGAGAAACCCCGGTGACAATCACCGAATCGAGATGGGGAGCATTGAAATTCTTTCTAAGTAGGCTAGGGAAAATGACGAGCGAAAAATGCAGTATGGCAGAAAAAATGCACTGATACTTCATTCATTCTAAATTGTCACACCTTCTGTATCTGAAACGATAAGCGACATAGTTTACCAATATAGGTTAGCACATGAGAAGACCACGTCGATTGCTCTCTATAGTAACTCCTAGGTATCTGTTCGGGTGACGGCTACGGAATTGATGACTGAGGGTTCCAAGGAATAATCGGTTCGGGAAGAAATCAAATTGTATTTAGAAGCATTTAACCGGAGATCGGATTGATTCGAGAATGATTGTACTTCTGATCGGATGCATGCAGACATTAAAATT